ATCATCACGCGAATAAAAAGTGACAAGGATTCGATACACATACGTGTGAGTCTATTATATTAATACTATTCTTATCGTTATCCGTCATGTCGCATATATTATATATTAAAAAATATGAAAATATACGACGGACGTGGATAGATAAATCATAGACTCACCGAATTGGCTTCTTTGGAAGAGTTGACCAGAAGCTGAGGCGTGTTCCAACATACGGGTCACCAATTGTATTCGAATTGGGATTACCAATTGTAGCGTGGTGTCGTGTTGAAGATTAACTATGAACACCGCTACAAAGAAACACGTGCCAATTAGATCAGAAGGCGTAAGAAGCTCGTTCCAAATGACTCCATAAAATCCCCGAGAAGCCGAATACCAGAAGGCAATTAATGGACCAAGTCGATGTTTATTTGCTGGCGATCTCGTGGCATCGAAAGGATACCGAGATCGTGCCAGGATACAAGCTTGGTTACAGAACGTAACCGAATTCGCGCGAAGTTACAATCAAAATGTGTGTATAAGAATGGAAGCACAAAATGGCTATAATTAGCAAAGTCTTCAGTCTTCAGTCTTCAGTAATAAGGATAGTAGGTTGATGAACCTGTGTTAATCCTGACACATTGCTTTCCAGTGAAGGTCCAGCTTTTCCTTGAAAGTATTCACTGATGGGGCTGATACCACTTGTTCGGGTAAGGCGTTCCAATGATTGACTACTCGATGAGAAAAACGGGATCCCACTTTAAGTTTATTAGATCGTGGTTTATGAAGCTTCTTGCTATGACCTCGGAGATTTTTAGTGCTGGAGGGAGCAAGAAGATAAGACATATTAACACCCAAATCATAATTAAAGATACGAAATGCCAGTATAAGGTCACCTCGTGTCCTACGATACGACAAGGGGAAAAGATTTAGGCGTTTTAAGCGCTCATCAAAAGGGAGTCTAGAAAGATCCTTCACTAATTTCGTTCCCACACGCTGGACACGCTCAAGGGAGTTAGTATCCTTTACCAGACACGGGCTAGCTGCTTGGATACAGTACTCTAAATGTGGTCTAACATATATGGGATATAAAATTCGAAACGTTTCCTCGTCAAAAGATTTGAACGCTCGGCGAAGTGACCATAACGCACGAAAACCTTTGACAGCGGCTGCCTTGCAATGCGCAGTTGTTTTTAAGTCATGACTTAATATTACTCCTAAGTCCTTATGCTCTTGAACGCATGGAAGAGGTTTACCCTCAATAGTGTAACGGTAACTATTACCGTTACCGACGTGCATTAGTACACTCTTCCTAGCATTAATTTCTAAACCCCACTCTCGAGCCCATCTAACTAAATCGTCTAAATCAGCTTGAAGATCCACACGATCAGCCGCACTTTTTATTGTTCTCCAGATTTTTACATCATCTGCAAACAATAATGTCGACGACCTAAGTAACAGTGGTAACTCATTAACGTAGAGAAGAAAGAGCAGAGGGCCTAAGATGGTGCCTTGGGGTACACCACTTTTGACCGGCTTCCAATCGGATAGCGTTCCATTGACCCTAACTCTCTGTCTGCGGTCACATAAGAAATTTCCTATCCACTCATGTACAGTACATTTTATTCCGAAGCTCGTGAGCTTCTGCATAAGACCTACGTGTGAAACCTTGTCAAACGCTTTGCTAAAATCTATGAATATCACGTCGACAGACAGACCGTTATCTAGGGCTGCTGTCCAATCCTCCCTCGCAATAAGCAAGTTAGTCAAGCATGAACGCTTGTTACGAAATCCGTGTTGCTCAGGAGCTAACAGATTGTGTAAATCTATGTGGCTTAGCAACCTAACCCGAATTATCTTTTCAAGTAACTTAACGACTATGCTAGTTAGACTGACAGGCCGGTAGTTAGATGCTATCTGTCGCTGACCGTCCTTAAATATAGGACTAACTATATCGTCCTTCCAATCTCTAGGGAGTTGAGCGAGTGAGAGGGACATGTTGAAGAGTGTCGCAATCGGTTTTGAAATAATGTCCGCAAGAGATGACAGCAACCGTGGGTGTAACCCGTCAGGGCCCGGTATCTTACCAGGTTTGAGGTTAGCTATCAACGGAAGGACAGTTTCCTCAGTCACCTGTACAGATTCAATGGTTGGTATCTCGGTGTGAGTGGGACAAGTATTTGTTACAATAAACGTAGAGAAGACTTCGCTAAAATAATCTGAAAAAGTCTCCGCTTTTGCTCGATCTGATTCGGCTAGTAATTCTGAATTTTCGTGTAACAGCAATGGGGGAATACCATCACTACGTTTCATTTGCCGTTTAACATACGAAAACAGTCGTTTCGGACAAGTACGGCTATCATATACTAACTGTCGTTCGTAAGTGGTACGGGATTTCGCTATGGTTTTCTTACAGATATTACGGTATTTTTGGTACTCACGCTTAAATGTTGCATCACCTGTCAACAAGAATAAGTCCCAGAAATGTTTCCTACGCTTTAACAGCTTCCGGGTTTCCTTATTAATCCATGGAGGGCAATGTGATAGCTTAGGTGCTGACCATGGGATAAACGGCGACGTTACGGACTCGAATGTAGCCTTAAACTTATTCCATTCATCTTCGATCAATCCATCCGCGTCGGCCGACCAATCAGTCGAGATTGCACGGTTTCTGATTTCCAGAATATTAGCTCGCCAGATATTGGGACGGGGTGGAGCAGATACGAATTGTATACCATGTGTCCTAAACTTAAAGTGAATTACAACGTGATCACTGTTCACTAGTGGAGGAAGGTGCTGGATATCAAAGACATCCTCAGAGTGGTGGGTGAGGGCGAGGTCCAGCAGTGACGGAACATGATGCAAATCAATATGTGTCGGTTTTGTGATACATTGTACAAGTGCACACTGAATAACGGTAGATAAAAGGTCACTATCGAAACCGCTACCTGGAGCTGTAAGCTCTATCCAGTTGATATGCGGTGCGTTGAAGTCCCCAATGATGAGACAACATTCTGCCATACTCCAAGAACAGATGTGTCTTAGGATAAAGTCGTCAGCCAGACAAGACGGACTACGGTATATTCCCCCTATAGTCACTAACCCATTTCTAGATTTAATCTTACAACATGCAACCTCACATGTGCCACTGATATGAGCCTCCGATATGGTTGATTGTATACGAAAGTGATCCCTAACGTAAAATATTATACCTCCCCCCTTGCGACTCGAAACTCTATCACTTCTGATACAGATATAACCAGCAATGAAAGGAGAACAAGCTATATCAACGGTGAACCAAGTTTCTGTAACAACGATTATATCGGGACATAATTCTTGCACCATCAGACTTAGCTCGGACGTTTTATTTCTAAGACTACGAGCGTTCGTGTAGCACACACTTAAGGTATTTTGGCAATCAATCGTTCTACCCATACAGGCCTCGGAAGCATTGGCTTCCAAGACCTGACTACCCGAAAACCCTTAATGGTAAGGTTATTTTCGCCATTTAATTTGCGAGTCCTCAACTCCGTAAGAGCATTCTTCCACTTGATTCGATCCTCAAGCGGCCAATCTGGTCGAATACGGATATTTGAGGCACGAGTTTTTTGTGCGCTTTTCAATAATATGTCTCTTTCTTCGAAACTCCCGAGAACCAGCTTCAGGATCCTTCTTGGTTGGGTCTCGCCTCCAACCCATTTACCAAGACGTATTACTTTTGTAATATGTACCCCTGAAACCTCTTCAGGTAGTACATTCCTGACCACAGACTCCACTAACTGTAGGTCATGTGCGTGTCTTTTAACAGGGTCGTTGTCTTTCGACTCCTCTGGATTCCAAATAATTAAACTAGGGATGGGTTTAGCTTCTTTTGAAACTGTGTTCACAGCTTTCGACTGTGACGTTAGATCCTGTATTTTAACTACTGGTAGCTTACGATTAGTTTTTATTTTAACAGAGTCCTGGGAGTCAGGCGAATGACTCACAACAATGTCAGACGAAGCTTTACTATGAGACTTTGGCGGATTGGTCTGAGAGTCCACCAAAGACTTACCAAGTAAACAGTCATTAGTTAAACAAAAGCACATTAAAACAAACACTGGTACAGTTGGTTATAATAATAATTGTTTTTATTAAACCAGTCGTGTTCTCGTGATAAACGTGAGTCACTACAAGCAGTCAGTGCCATTGTGAAATTTCCATTACCCAACAGACAGTTCCAACAAGTTCGTCCAGATATCGTCAGTCGACTCTCCTTCTAAAACGGAGAATAATTTCAAGAAGAATCCAAAAGGGCGCAAACCAGAAAACCCACTGTTTTCGTTGTTGCTGACTGAAATTTGTTTACGCTGTTCAATATATATCACCACTGAGTTCCAGCGCTCAATTCCGATCAAGGCCACTTGGTATGTTTTGGCTGCCGTTGAGGTATTAGTTGTGTAGATGTTCCTAGCATCCTAATTGTATAAGTTTTGGGTAGTATTTTTGAATGTGTTACTGAGGTACCTGAATTATTGGCATGTTTTATTCAGTTTTTACTTATTTTCGACTTAGCTCTACTAATACGATATTACCCGATTTCTACCATCTCACGATTTTCCATCGAACCATTTAAAAATTAGTCGTTTCTCCTTGCATTCGAAGAAATGTTTGTGGTAGGCATTGGACTTATGAGAATTCCGATGGCTTCTCAGTCAGTGGAAATTGTATGGAAAAACCTCAAAACTAGATTAGCTCGGTTAAACACGAATGTCCTGCCTCAAAAAGTATTTAAGTTATTCAAGGGATAATGACAATCGACACTTTCTTCACATATCAGAATATTGTACTTTGAGGATTGATAAACTACTGAGGCTGATAAAAGTTTGCACGTTCCTAGTTGAATGCTTTTTAAATTAAATACTTGTATTTAGTTGCAAGATTGTCGTCATCCACTGCACTATCCATTAATTTTCAGCTTCGCATGTTTATCTGACCTGGTTTTTACGATCACGGTATTTTGTGTGATGAAGTAGTTTATTACTATGTCGTCGCGACGTGATTCCTGTTTAAGATTTAGTAAACCTCACCACTCTTGGAAAAACTTTTACAAAGTTGAAGGTGACCCTATTGGACGGTATGTTTACTTTTGGATTATCAGTTTGTATAGTGGTTATGCCGGGAAAGTTTACAAAATTACTACTGGTAACATGGAGCTACTGGATCCTTTGATAGTGACGAAGTCTCAGCTCACAGCAACAATGTATTCAGAAAGTGCTTATACTGAGCCCGGAGAATATTTAGCTTGCAAAGTCATCCGTAGATTTCGTGGAGGAAAGGATACTATTGCAAAAATTACCTCTGAAGTTCAAGCTATGGTCAGTTTGCAAAGAGATCATCTTAATACTTATCATAACTCTGTGTATAATAAACCATCTGAAAAACCTTCCAGAATTTGTAACCATCAAGTTCCTCCTAAATCAGCCTCACCTAAGCTGTTTGCAGTTTATAAAGACTCAATGGAAGTTGCTATTATCATGGAGTAGTAAGTTTTTGGCGTAATTAAATGTATCGATTGATAGACCAGTTATTGTGCTGAAAGTTTGAATATAATTCATATCAAAGCTTTTTACAATCTGATTAAATATTTATCAACATTTTCAATATTATTGCATTTGGTTTTATAAATTGCCACTTAAGATTCCAGTACAGATGTGTTTCGTATGAACTTGCCAACTTCCTACCTGCATGAACATGTATTGAATCATTTTTCCGAATTAGCTTTCTAAGAAACATAAATCTAACTTGGATGGTATTATAGCTCATAGACATTGAAAGTATCACCACGTAAATTTATGCAACATTGGAATCTCATTACGAGTGTCTTAATTTTAATGTATGTATTAGTATTCTGTAAATTTTTATGTTCACTACCTATCAAGTTACTTATGCTGAAACCAGGTTAAAAAATAGTAGGGTTCTCCTAACATATTGCAAGTCTTGAGGCCTTTAAATAAAAATATTTATGACTTCTTGCTCTCGAAATGAAAATACTAAATCAACATAACTGTGAAATAAAGCTCTACTCAGACGTTTCCTTTTCAGTTTTAGTCACTCTTGATGTTGTTTTTTTTCTGTCGAAAACTCTTGTGATACCGTATTTCGCCTTTCATGAGGAACTTTATCAATATTTCTCCGGAACAGACTTTGTCAAAATAGTTACGAGTGATTTGCCACCTAGAATACTATGGAATCGAAGACACCATGTTTCAAAATTACTCAAAAGATATTATCGCCTTGGTATCCCACGTTAATTAGTTCGGAGTTGATTTTGTAGATATAGTATAGAGCTCATAAGTAAGAAATAAAACAATTCATATGATTGAAAAAGACCCTACAGATACAATTTCGAAGTGAAATTGCTTATTTATGTCTGTTACCCCTCATGGAGGAGCATAGTCCGTCCACTACCAGCATTCTCCATCTAGCCTTGTCCTGGGAGATTCTTTTCATGTCCGCTTCCGATTCCCGACTCATTATGTTCTTTCGTCCCTCACTTTTCTCGTTTCCACTCATTATTCGAAGTCGGGGCTTGCCCCATGATGCAGTTTGATGATTTCCGTAATGTATGTCGTATCCGTCTCCATCGTCTCTTCCTAATTTCCTCTTCAGCTGGAAGCTGGTTTTTTCCCTCCCACAGTAGGCTGTTGCTAATGGTATCCGGCCAACGGACACTGAGTATCTTGTGTAGACAACTGATTATAAATACTTGTACCTTTTTGACGATGGTTGTAAAAGTTCTCCAAGTTTCATCTCCGTACAGTGAAACTATCTTGACGTTCGTATTGAGGATTGTGACTTTCTGAATGTTTTAGTGATGCAACTATGACCTATCTGGTTCTGTATAGTGTGATCTGGTGAGGCCCATGTAGCTTTTTAATTACGTTTGTGTGGGAATATTGTACCGCCTATAACCATTTTGTTAAATGCAGATAAATTTGCAAGTCTGTAATCATTCTCATTTCTTTCTCCCAGTACATGTCGTCTCATGATATTTTCATACCCAGTGTTGTACCATTCTGACTTTGGAGTCTAGGTCTCTTAATAGAATAGTCAAGTTCCTCCCCGAGCACTTCTCTACGCTTAGTTGCAGTTTCTCATAAAACTGGTCTTTATTATCTTTGTTGCTATCATTGGAGGGTGCATAGCACTAGATAATATTTATTATGATCCTCTCCTTCTTTGTTTTGAAAGATGCTTTGATGATCCTGGCGAACTGTCATCAGAATTGATTACCTCAAGTGGTGTTCGTCAGGGCTGTCCACTCTCCCCATTCTTGTTCAACTTTGTGGTCGACGTATTTTTAGAGATAACACTCTCCTCATCTAAATTTCCAGGGGTTGAACTTCTACCAGGAGGTTCACTTGTTGACTTAGAATATGCAGATGACATAGTTTTATTTGGTGAAGACGCTGACAAAATGCAGAGTCTTCTGCCCACTCTAAGCAACAATGCAAGCATGTTCGGGATGCGATTCTCTCCCTCGAAATGCAAAATGTTGCTTCAGGATTGAGTTACATCGACACCCGAACTAGTGATAGGGAGTGAAGTAGTTGAGTGTGTCGACCGCTTCACTTATCTTGGAAGTCTCATCAGCCCTTGTGGTCTGGTGTGTGACGAAATCTCAGCACGGATACAGAAGGCTCGACTAGCTTTTGCCAACTTGCGTCATTTATGGCGTAGGCGAGATATCCGTCTATCAACCAAAGGACGTGTTTACTGCGCAGCAGTTCGTTCCGTCCTACTTTATGGCAGTGAAACATGGCCGGTAAGAGTAGAGGATATCCTTAGGCTACTAGTATTTGATCATAGGTGTCTTCGAAACATTGCTCGTATATCATGGGACCATCGAGTAATGCAGTTGTTAGGAAACGAGTACTAGGTAAAGATGGCAAATCAATTGATGAAGTAGTGAAACTTCATCAGTTGAGATGGTTGGGACACGTGTTACGTATGCCCAACGACCGACTGCCTCGACGTGCTATGTTCAGTGGTATAGGAGTAGGTTGGAAGAGAGCTAGGGGCGGCCAAACCAAAACATGGCACAAGTCCATGAAGTCACTGACAAGTGGACTGAGCTATGTTGGTAGGTGTAGACTACCTGGTTGGGGACCGCGAGATGATAGCAACCGATGGTTAGAGACCCTGAATGACATGGCTCAAAATCGTTTGCAATGGCGCAGGTGCATCCACTCTCTGTGTTCTCCCAAATTCTAATCTTATGAATTCTTCATGTCCCTTTTTTCCTCTTTCCAAATTTATTTCACTGGATTATACTCTTTAAATAACATCTCCAAACCCTAATCTTCCCGATTACTGCTTATACTCTTATTACCTCTACCACTACCGGATTTGAATGGACAACTGCATCTCTGTGCTAATGTGGTGTGGCAACTCGAACTGATGTACGTACGTACGAAGTTCTACGTTGTTACTGACTGACTGACTGACCTGGATCCATGAGTTTTGAATAGGGAGTGAAGTAGTCGAACGCGTCAACAACTTTACTTATCTTGGAACTCTGGTCAGCACTAATGGGTTGGTGTGTGGCGAAATCTCGGCACGGATTCAGAAAGCTCATTTGGCTTTTGCGAACTTACGTCACCACCTATGGCAAACGCGAGATATCCGTCTATCAATTAAAGGACGAGTATATTGCGCCGTAGTTTGTTCTGTTCTAATTTACGGCTGCGAAACGTGGCCATTAAGAGTAGAAGATACCCGTAAGATACTAGTATTTGATGACAGATGCCTTAGAAATATTGCTTTTGTCTGCTGGGATCACCGGGTAAGTAATAGTGATGTGAGACGTAGAGTATTATTGAATGATGGTCAATCAGTTGATGAGGTTGTGAATCTTCATCGAGTGAGATGGTTGGGCTACGTGTTACGTATGCCTGAACACCGATTACCACGACGTGCAATGCTAACCGGTGTTGGAGATGGTTGGAAGAAAGTAAGGGGCGGCCAAACCAAAACGTGGTATCAGTGCTTGAAGTCACAAACTTCTGGTGTGAGTCATGTTGGTAGATGCAGACTACTTGGTTGTGGTCCGCGTGACTATCGTAACCAATGATTGTAGACTATGTGTGACATGGCTTAGAATCGATCACAATGGCGTCGGTGTATATACTCTCTGTCCCATGGTAGCCGGTGACCACCAATAGGTTCATACAACTTTTGTTCCCTCAGGATCCTGGAGATCATGTGCATCATTGATTTGGAATCAGGGTTTCCCAACTCCTCTGGGTGGATCCTCCATATTCAACAACCCGGTTAAAGCACCGAACATTCGCTTCTAAACATCTCAAATTCGTAAACATTACCCCCTCTCTGCGAGAAGGCAGTGAGTGGGACTTCCCTTACAGTGGCTGTATACGCGTGGCCATATGAGAGCGTCTGGAGATGGAGAGTGGACTCACCCCACCCTCGGCCTTACCAGGGCATTTGAGATTCTCATCCGAAAAGTGTTTGTCGTGTTTCTTAAACAATATCAGTGTAGCTCCTTGCATGAGATAAGCGTTTTCTTCGTGATCAGAGTACAACAGCATCTTCCGAATCTAATATTTTCTGTTCAGCTAGGGTCCAATGTGTTTCGCTTACTCTGAGCACCACCATGTTGTATATCCTCATTTCCGTAGCTATTTGATAGGTCCTCCTGGTATCCCACATTATCCGGACTTCCCATGTATCTATATTAATCGTTGCTGTAGTTGTCAAAAAGAAAATCGGCTTTGTGATTTCCAAGAAATCGCGATTTTCTCCATAAAAGGCGTCATAATTCTTCTGAACCAAGATCGTTTAACTCGGGGGATGGAGTTTAAATGGTTTAAATTGTTTATTCCGGTTAGCGTTTTTTCTGGCAAGGTTTTTTCTATGAGGTTGGGTTGCTGACCCCATGCCCAACCCTCCTTCTTTATCCGAGCTTGTTTATTTTTATTATTTATTTATTTGAACACATAAATATTGGTACAAAAGGGCACCAAATATATATGCGCAACACAAAACAATGAGAATTCGAAGAGAACAAAATAAGGTAAGGAGCGTAAAAAAAGAACAATAACAAACAGATCAGTGTAAGGTAGTGTAATGATAATAATAATGGGGGAAACGGAAAGGTATAATCAGAAGAAATCTTTCGGTTGAGGAGGAAACAACCATTTTTAATGAAGAAAGTAAAAGAAGGTTACAGCAGGATCGCCACTGTCTCCTATTCTGAGCCATGTCTGATAACGTCTTTAGCCATTGTGTTGCACCATCTCTCGGACCACCTCTCCGCTTCTTCCAACCAGTCCCAGAGTCGGCAAATAATGCAAGACGTGGAATTCTCTGGGACGACATTCGTAGAACATGTCCAAGCCACCGAAGTCGGTGTTTCAAGATGGTGACACCGATTGCATTATCGTCTCTGTGTCCGAACACACGATGCCGAACCTCTGCATTACTAACATGGTGTTGCCACTGGATGTCAGCAATCCTTTGGAGACAACAATGATCAAACACCGAGTCGTATAACATCCTCAACTCGGAGAGGCCAGGTTTCACAAGCATAGAGCAAAACTGCTCTTACCGACGCGTTGTAGATCCGACCTTTTACGGTCAAACTAACATCACGAAGGCACCAAAGATGGCCCAGATTGGCATAAGCTGCTCTGGCTTTCACTATACATGCGTTGATTTCATCACTCACGCCACCACCAGCACTTATGCTGGTGGGATTCTTCAAACCTTCCGAATTTGTTTACGTTAAAACATATAGCATTAAATTTTTAAAACGTTTTAATATCTGTAGATTCCTGATAATAATAATTGAACGATACACCGTGTCATAACTTTGTAAATTTCAGCATTAGTCATTGAGATAGGATCCTTGAGGTAGCAAATTATTTCTGCCGTAGTTATCAAATATATAATGTGAAGATATAAAATGTTTTCTCTCGGAGGAAGATAATTATTTATCTACTGTATTTCATGAGATGGCATACAAAACTGTCTCATTTTTGTTCTAGGTTCTACATTGACCATAATTTAAACCAAACTTGGCCAAGACAGAAATTGCATCCAGCCGATTTAATTAAGTTTTCCCGTTTATTTTAACGGCTCGCAACGAACAGACTATTGACAATAATTCAGTTTGTAAATTGTATGGACATACAAATTACATGTCATATAATGAAAATCTGATTTGTCCATTGTAATTCAAATTGCTTATGAATTCGGTATAAAGTTTGCGCGATTAAAATTTATTTTCCAGTTCTATATTTGTAGCTGATTAAATGTACTGATTAAATGTATAAATATAGATTTATGACTGTCACCTATCAGTATAGGTTAGTTCAGCTAATCAGTTGACCACTATCTAAGTTTTAAATAACACTAATGGGGATTTGTTCTATTTTCTAACTTACATCTAAATATTACGTTTTTCCCGTGTTTGTACCAATGATTATTCATTTTCTTTTGAAGTGCTAGTGGTGGATCTTTATACGACTTGTGTAGATCTGCTTACCCATATGACTTTGCTGCTAGTTCACCCAGTTCTCCTTGTGGTGATTTATCCGTTCCTAATTCTGGTGTTTCTAATTCACACACAACAATCCCACAGTCGAAACACCCTGGTTCATTTGATGGATTGTCTGAATCATATATTCGTCAACTACTAATCAGCATCCTTGAAGCTTTGGTCTACATGCATGATACTCTTAGGATGGTTCACCTAGATGTTAAGGTAGGTTTGGAAAAACATCGAAATACAGTTTCTGTTAATTTTAAATGCTTTTGGCTTCAATAAACCTAGGATGCACTTCACATTGTCAAGATGTCTATAATTTTGCTTTAACTAAATAGTTATCACGAGTGGAGTTGGACGATTTCGAGTTTTATCACAAATCAGTCGAAAATTAAAATGTAGAATATTGGATTCCGACTCAGTAGTCTACTGGCTAAGCATCTACTTTAAGACAGGGCGGTTCTTGATCCGTGCCCTGCAAAAAGTTGTGGGTAGTCAGAAGTAATAAATTCGATACTAAAACAAACAACCCATTCTGTGCTTCTTGGTCTTCAGTATACCCCAATTTGTATGAATCCGTAATAAAAGCCACCTACAAATTTAAATAATCTTTATAAAAAGTTTCGTCAAAAATACAATCGAATACTTCTGTTCACCATTTAGAACTTATTTTCATACAAAAATTAGTCAACATAAAAATTGTTAATTAAAGAGGATACCCAAGGCCAAAGTAATAATGTTTAATTATTTTTATTTGAAAATCTTTTTGGTGATATATAGACTCTTTCTACTTATAATTTTGTATTACATTTTCAGTAAACTATAATTTCATATTATCGATGGCGAATATCTAGTAGATCTTGTTATACTGAATGCGATCCAGTACTCACTCTGAATCCGATTGTTTACTATCACTATTATAATCATCAATTTTAATTACACTGTTATTTTCATATTATCGATGATTATTAACATAAGTTCAAAGTACAAGACTTAGGTTGAATATATATGAATTCTTTTCGGTCATTTTTACTTATCATAATGATCATAATCATCATCTTTATCAGCATTACAACAAAAAATTTATTCACTCCATATTACTAAAAGGTATAAACATTCCATTCTAGGTCATTGTGAATATGTTAATTTTGCCCATAAATATTTTTTTTTCATTTTTAAACTTTACAAAGTTTGACCTACCATCGTTAAAAAAATATTTAGGCATTTCAGTTGTATAATTGTTTAACTATGGGATAAGTTGTCGAAAAATATATTGTACTCATCACGTAAGTAGATTGAATTCTGTTTAAGGTTGTGGATATACTCAATCAATCATAAGCAACGTATAACCTGAGACATACTTGAATTGTTCCAAGTTGACATATCGAATCAGCGCAGTAAGATGAAGCTATAATCATAAATGTCAGAGTAGTAGTAGTAGTAACAGTGTCAGTGGTAGTAGAAAAGTTTAAACATAAATAAGTTTATAAGTTTATATAAAATAATAGTATTGTGAAATGTAAACAGATTTTATATAATTAGTGAATCTATTAGTGTTTTCTACGAGTTATTCTGCCTGTGAACTGAAAAATAAACGATATATAAGTTCATCTCTATGAATATATACAATACGTCCTATCAAACTCTTATGAAGACCGAAATGAATTTCTAAGAGTTCTCACATTTTCCTTGGTTAGGGTAAGGATTAAGGGTCTATGATTGAGATTTTTATCATGAGCTATAATGCAAAAATGCTCTGTAGTCATATGGATGATTAAGTTTCGCACAAAAAAATGAAAGAGATGCTATATACTTTATTCGTCCATAAAACATCATGTCACCTGGTTAAGGTTGGTCTCAGGATTAAGGGTTTATAATTAGGATTTAGAGTCAGTGTCAGTTAGGCTGTTATATGTAATGCACATAGGCAAAACTGAGTATTTGTCACGTGTAATATATATATATATAATATATATATATATGATGTGGGCTACTTATGAGAGGCAAGTAGTATATGTAGCAGGAATCGGAAGTAGAATGCTTACTAGCAGAAGAATGAAATAAAGAAAGGGGGTGGAGGAAAACGAAGAGAATTCGGAATAACAACAGGATCGGAAGAATAATGAAGTGTGTAAGGGACAACTGAAGGAAGATATGCGAATGATGTATTTGATGTATGGTTTTCATATTTTCCAAAGGTATTGTGTGATTTCGCATTAAACGAAAAGTTGGTTTTCTCCACTAAGTCTTCGTTCACTACATATGCACATCAAATTCAAGGTTTCTGCTCTCGATTTTAAAGTAAATTATTTTTGTACTAGCCAAATGATATTACTATCCAGTTGCCCAAACTGAAGTAGATAAAAGTGAGATTGGGACATGAAACCTTAGTCGTTCAAAGCCACTGCCAGGGAAGTCCTACTCACTGCCTTTTCGTGGCGGGGGTGTCGTTTACAAAATTGAGAGGACGAAAAGCGAATGTCCGGCGCTTTAACCGGGTTAATGGACATGGAGGATCTATATAGGGGAGTTGGAAAACCCTGATTCCAAACCATTGGTGCACATGGGCTCCAGTATCCTGTAGAAATCGATGGTATATGAACCAATTTTCGGTCACCGGCTACCATGGGACCGCATCTCCTTACGATGCTCCACTACCTTGTGGATCAGACCTTTAGGTCAAAGGCTCCGGGTGTGGCCCCCTAAGAAAACCACCTGCTTTGATCTGGGCACCCGGGCAGTATCATAGCCCTCACACATATCAATGATAACTGCTACTGGCCTCATTGTTATTGTGTAGCGCATATGTATTTGGTGACCCGTTGTACCAATCTTTATGTGTTCAAATAAATAAGTCGATAGGAAAACGTGAACTTAGGTTTCATGCTATTCAGTACTTGTTAGCAAGGTGTACCTGTAATCCTAAGGGAACTAAGAGTAATCTGGCACATGGCATTGATCGCTACTCGGTGACCAACCTATTGCAAATCCATGTCACTCTTATAGGAGGTACGTCTAGGCTCGGATAGCTCAGTGGTAACGTCTATGAATGTGAAGTTGGGCTACACAAGGTCGAAACTGTCAGGGAGCACCTGTTCCCTTGATATTACAGGTACACCTTACTGACGAGTGTCAAATAGCATGAAACATTAGTTAATGTTTTCCTATTGACTACCTCCAACCACCATCTTATCGTGCGACATGTTTGTTGGGATCAGATGAATGATTTAAAATGCATTGTTTACACCAACTTGGTGTTCCGTATCAGTTGAATGAGCCAGTGCGCAACTTTTAACTGATTTTAGTAGTCTCTTACTTAACGAGACAGTGCGATGAACCTGGATACTTGTGGGTTCGATGTAACAGACTTTTTAGGGGTAGTTGAATTGGTAAATGCACATAGTTGAAGCGAAGAACGGTTGGAATTTCCGGTATCGATTTCATTATTATTGTTAAACACATATATTGGCGTAAAGCCATGATGAAAAACCATTTGTAACAAAATATTTCTTCTCTCTATTCGTCTTATCTAAATAATTAATGTGCTACAGGGTTGTTATATTTGATAAATATCAACTTTAATGTTAGAAAGTAATTAATATTTTACCCATCTACCTATTTATTTCTTTATTAAAGGCTGAAAATCTTTTACTGCGTCAACCCTATCCGTCTACTGATGTATTTTTCACAGATTTCGGTTTAGCGACCATATTAACTGAAGGTAAACAACATCGAGAGCTTGCAGGAACTCCTGATTATGTTGGTAAGTGCATTTGTATTTTGTCCTCACTCTTTCAAAATTAATATTGATTTTTTTGTGAGCTTTATGTGAGTACTTAACTTGTTAGATTGATAGTGAAATAACGGAGAGGATATACTCATAAGTTTAACATTTTTAGTGCTGTTGTGTTCTTGTAGCTGTATTGGTTAATCGTTCAACTTTCATTGCTCTTCTGAGCAACATAAGTAGCGCCTACTTCTTGTAGAAGATCATCAATAACAAATTGTTTTTTATTCTTATGTCATATCAGTACTATATTGACTCATGATTTAAGTATGATGTACGCTACTCACAACACTACTTGTAAGCAGCGTGTAGTGGAACGCGACTTTGGAGCTGTCAGTCATCAGACGGAGAGAAGAAGAGGATCACAACGTCAAAAACACGGTTTAAGCAGAACACTTGAAGACGTGACGAGAAGACAGTTCACATTGCAGAACGCACCGGAAGATGCAAATAGATGACCAAACTTACTTACTTACTTACACCTGTTAGTCCCAATAGAGCATAGGCCGCCGACCAGCATTCTCCAACCCACTCTGTCCTGGGCCGTCTTTTCTAGTTCCATCCAATTCTTGTTCATTTTTTTCATGTCTATTTCCATTTCTCGGCGTAATGTGTTCTTTGGTCTTCCTCTTTTCCTTTGGACTTGAGGATTCCATGTGAGGGCTTGTCTTGTGACGCAGTTGGGTGCTTTCCTCAATGTGTGTCCTATCCACTTCCAGCGCTTCTTCCTAATTTCTTCCTCCACTGGGATCTGGTTTGTTCTCTCCTACAGTTGGTTGTTGCTAATAGTGTCCGGCCGACGGATCCGAAGTATTTTGCGTAGACAACTGTTAATAAACACCTGTATTTTCTGGATGATGGCTTTCATAGTTCTCCAGGTTTCTGTCCCATACAGTGGAACTGTCTTGACATTTGTATTGAAAATCCTGACCTTGGTGTTGGTTGACAGTTGCTTTAATAGATGACCAAAAGCTATCTATATTTACTATGCAAACACTTTGTAATCTCTTGCAGTTAACGTTCATTCATTTTGCTAATTGTATTGTTCTACATATGTATATTTTTTTTTCTGTCGAAATTTCTACGACTTTATCATTTCAGGTTAGTCTTTATAAACATTAACTAAATATTTTTTCTTAATATGAATTGATTTATATATTTAACCATTATAACACTCACATTATATTGAAAGTGTTTATATTAATGTATTATGGAAGTATTTCAGTTTTTCCCATTTTCTATATTTCGCACTTATAACATTTATCAAAAGTAGATTTTGAAATTATTTTTAACTAGTAATCTAATATGAGACATTAAAGAGGACAAATGTTGTACTTGTAAAATCTCAGCAAAAGAATTTAAAGTAAATCTACTTCAAAATTCTTTCGCTGAGATTTTACATGTACAATATTCTTTCTCTTTAATGTCTCACATTAACTTGGCGCCAAAATATTGTGAAACTATCCGTTCGAATTTAGATGAAAGTTCTTATTTAGTAATCTAATGGTTTACATTCAAAGTTGGTATTAGTTTTCAATAAGTTATTTTAGTACAATAAGACCAAAACTATTATGTTAATTTGCTTCAATATATATACTACTTAAACAGTGGACAAATGTTATAAATGTTGTAAATTTTGTAAAACTGATTACTACTTATCGATCATTTGCACTTTCTTTTTTTCACCACAATTTCGATATGCATCATATATTTTAGTGCATTGAGATGCAGCTTTACTTATCCTACATTCAATATTCTGTACAGTATGTGTATTGTAATTAGTATCATTGCATTGTTTAACGTTTGAATATCTGAAAACTAACGAACTGAATACTGTAAACTGGAAGTTGAATTTGCAATATGTATAAATTCCGTTTTTTTTTTAGAATATTAAAGTATAATTATGAATGAGACTTCTTTCATTACTCAGTGATTCTTATCATCATCACCATCAATGTTTATACTGAAATATATGTATTCGTAAGAACTTTCAATGAAATGTGGGCAAACTATAATATAGGGCACAAGCGTAGAATGACGTTAAAGTTATCCTTTAATTTTGATATTAAATGTTAACCAATGAACAGATTTACTTACTTACTTCTGTTATTTCTCGTAGAGGAGCATAGGTCACCAACCAGAGAGTCTGTGTAAATCAAATTATTTTACTACAGAAGTAAATAAACCTGTTAAAATTTAATGGTTTTAAGAAGTGTTTATTATCAGTTTTCTAATTAGTTAATACTTCCAAGAAAAAAACACAATTAAATTATGATACATATATGTGTATATCAAGTTTGTTTTTCAGCTGATACTTTGTCCAGTAGTTAGATTGATTGAACTTTATAACTTGTAAAGTGTAATTGTTATCAGCATAGAATTGAAAAAGTAAAATAAACAATTTCTATGAAATAGTCAATTATACCTCTCTAAACTTATTACACCACATGAATATCTATCTATCTATATTTTTCTTCATGCTATGTTAGTAGAATTTTGAATTCTTTTTTTAGTTACGAAATCAAAACCCAATCTATCTCTTATGGGATATATACATATACATAAATGTTATACAATGATAAGTGTATTTGGTAACTTGTGACCTCGGTAAACAGTTGAAAAAATAACTGTTTGAAATCATGAGTCAATTGAAGCTAGACCACCATGGAAAACCTGGAAGCACTGGATGGATGTTTCGTCCTAGCATGGGACTCCTCAGCAGTGCGCATCCATGATCCCGCCCCCCGCGATCTAGTGAGTTGTTACCAGTGGAGTTCAACCAGGTCTGTTGTGAGATAGGAACTCACTGAAGACAATGGTATAAGGTGGCGCAACTTTGTGGACTGGTTGAAGTTAGACATTAACACTGTTGGATGCTGGCTCAGTGGCCTAGTTGGTTAGGCGTTCGAGTGCGAGACTGATAGGTCTTGGGTCGTGGATGCGCACTGCTGAGGAGTCCCATACTATGACAAAACGGCCGTCCAGTGCTTCCGGGTTTTCCATGGTGGTCTAGCTTCAATTGACTCATGATTTCAACCATTGAAATTTCTAAAAATCTTCACAAAACCCATTCTGAAAGAATAACTAACAAGAAATTTAAAACTATGTAAATTTAGGACTCGTCAGTTGGATGTACCTACATCCCAGTAGTTGATATTCAATCCGGAACTCGAACCCATTACCATTCGCTTCAAATACCATCACATTATTCACTTAACTACTGAGTTCAGAAAGCTATTAGCTTGTGCAATGGATGAAGTTTTAATTCATTTTTGTATTGATTGTTTGGGTTATCCCATTGATGTTTAGGACTGCAATTGATCAGTCTCATCTAAATTTATACATACTAAATGAAATACAAAGTAATAAATTAAACAAGATAATAATAGGCATTCATCTTTTCTAATTGTCCAATATTTCTGTTTCTATGAAGTTTGAATTATAGTGAATTGAAATTTTTAAAAGCATAATAACATGTATTTTAAATGTTATAAGCTTGATTACTTCAGTAACATCAGTAGCATTCCTCAAGTTCTCTTGATATTATTAATACTTTTTTAAACGATATTCGTAAAAGACTGTAGAATGTTCTTTCACATAAGGTATACATTTACAATATTCAGTCTATTCAATCTATTTACACCTTTGCTATCCTATACTAATGTGTCTTCACAATATAACTTCCAATGAAACTCTTTCATGTAAGTAATTTAAACCCATTATGTAATTATGACTCTTAAATATCACAGGTTGTAAGCAACTGACGAGAACCAACGAAATCAAAATGCGTTCATGCTATTGTGCTAGAATCTTTGTTCTTGTTCTTTTCAAAGCGGTAAAGGGAACTATGTATGAGGAACTAGTATCGTAGATTCCACTGTTAACTATCTATTCTAACACAGAAAGAACTGTTTAAAATCATTTTCCTTCTTATCTTTTCGTTCTAAGTTTTCTTTTTCTTTCTGTCAAATAGGTCATCGTTTCTTTTATGAATTTTACCCATGTCAATTATCATGTGACAAAATCGGCAATCAAAATACCTACTTATATGACCTTAAGGCGAGGGAGTAGGTTTTTTCATTTGATTAAAGAACACGCTTATATACTAATTATTAAGAAAAGATTAAGCATGATGGTATGTCTTGAATAGTTGTGGTTCTGTAGGTCACTCACTCTACAATGGAATTAAAGCCTCATCATATCAAAAAGTATTCAACCAAGACTTATCTTGGAAGTCTGATCAGCTCTAATGGATTAGTGTTTGACGAAATCTCGGCACGGATTCAGAAAGCTCGTTTGACTTTTGCGAAATTACGTTACCTATGGCGAAGATGAGATATCCGTCTATCAATTAAGGAACGAGTATACTGCGCCGCAGTTCGTTCTGTTCTACTTTACGGCTGTGAAACGTGGCTATTAAGAATAGAAGATACCTGCGAGATACTAGTATTTTGATGACAGATATCTTAGAAATATTGCTTTTGTCTGTTGGTATGACCGGGTAAGTAATAGTAAGATGAGACGTAGAGTATTATTGAATGATGGTAAATCAGTTGATGAGGCTGTGAAGCCTTATCGAGTCAGGTGGTTGGGTCACGTGTTACGTATGCCTGAACACCGATTACCACAACGCGAAATGCTGAGTAGTGTTGTGAGTGGTTGGAAGAAAGTAAGGGGGGCGGCCAAACCAAAACGTGGCATCAGTGCATGAAGTCACCAACTTCTGGTTTGAGTCATGTTGGTAGATGCAAACTACTTGGTTGTGGTCGACGCGACTATGGTAAACACTAGTTGTAGAGTATGTGTGACATTGCTTAGAATCGATCACAATGGCGTAGGTGTATACACTCTTTGTCTTCCCTTAAACTGTGAGATTAGAATCACATTATACCTTTGTTTCTGCGATCTAATCTTTTCTCTTTATATGCCATATTTATTTTATATATTACCACCACTGAAGTAACTACTATGAGTTT